AAAAAAAAAAAAAAAAAAAAAAAAAAAAAAAAAAAAAATTAGTTAGGTGTGGTGGCCCGCACTTGTAACCCCAGCCACTTGGGAGGCTGAGTGAGACTGTCTAAAAAAAAGAAAAAAAAAGAAAAGAAGAAAACTCTGAATAGTCTTCATATAATACACTTTCTTTACCTCTGTGTATCTTCCACGGCATTTGGAGGATGAAACCTAACCGCTTTCACTTTCTTAAACTCATTTTTTTTGTCATCTGTAACAGTATACTCTAGGTTTTCCTCCCAGCTGTCTAGGACTACTGCCTACTTTTTCCTTCCTTGGCATCTCTTCCTCCGTTTAGTATTCTCCAGGCTTACTCCATCCACCAGTTGTCGCAATGGTGAAACATGACCATATCCTTGATTCTAGCTTCCACCTTTATGCTGGTGACACCTGAATTTATCTATAGTTCTATATAGCTACCTACTGAATTATCTCCTCACCCCATTAGCACTCAAATTCAGCATATCCCAAACAAATAATTTGACTCTCCATTTGCCCTCCAACTTTGACACCTCTTTTCCTTTTAACGTTGTATTTCTTGACTCAAAATGCCGTCAGTAGTCTTACCAGGCTCCCAAGCCAGAAATCTAGGCCACTGTTTGAATTTTTCTCTGTTCTCAAACACCTCAGTCATCAAGTTCTTTTTATTTTACTATCTTGATATTTTCATATAACTTTCTGAATATAGGTTATACGTCATGGCCTGCCATTTCAAGGCTGTCCCATGTCCATCTCTTCAATCTTCTCTTCCTTCATTCTCCCTTATAGTCCCTCACTCTGCCCACCCACTCCTCTCTGTTAGTCACTTGGCAGGCCCCTTTGAAACCCAGCTAAAGTTCCAACACCTCTGGGGATGCCTTCCTTGATTCTACCACCCTACCATCTGACTGTTGCCTCTCCTTTGTGGTCAGTTCTGTAGCGTCTGTACGTACCTCACACAGGGTTCTCAGCCAGGGGTTATTTTACCTCTCAGGGAACATTTGGCAGTGTCTGGGAATTTCTTCCTTGTCACAAGCCATGAGGGGAAGAGATAATCCTGGCACCTAGTTGGTAGAGGACAGAGATGTTGGCAATCATCCTACAATGCGCAGGACAGCACTCTTAATTTTTTTGGCTCAAAATGTCAGTAGTCCCAAGGTTGAGAAACCCTGCCCAACATATTTATTTTGTTACTAGTACTTTATATATTTTTTTCTTCTCCACTAGACAGGGGACCTTGTCTTGTTTTTGCATCCCTAAATCTTGATTTAGGGTCTTTCACATAGTAGAAGTTAAATGTTGGAAGGAAAAGAAATAAAGGAGGTAATCACTCAACTCCAGAGATAAGCAGCCTGTGTGCTACCATAGGGTACTTGATAATTTCAGTGATTTGTCTCCATATTCCCATTCTTTATTGTTGCCTTTCAAGGGTGCTCAAACTTGTCTATTTTTCATTTGTTTATTCAGCAGCTGATTTATTTTTAAAATATTATATTGATTTTTCTTTATTTAGCATCACTTGGCTCTCTTCTGTCCATGTTTCTTGGCCACTTATGAAAGGGTAAAAAAAATAGTTAGCTTTCAGAAAAATAAACTAAATAGGCTTATTCTTATCAGAGGTTGGTTGTTCAAAACTCTGCAGGCCATAATGACTTCAGCAAATAAAGCAGTTGAATTACAACTACAAGTGAAACAAAATGCAGAAGAATTACAAGACTTTATGAGGGATTTGGAAAACTGGGAAAAAGACATTAAACAAAAGGATATGGAACTAAGAAGACAGAATGGTGTTCCTGAAGAGGTAAATTAAGAATTCCTAATTAAACATCCACCGAAATGAGTTTTTTAAAAATAAGACATAACTTCTTAAAATATTTTGTGAAAATACTGAAATTGAAGTGGTTTGCTTCACTCTCAATGTTTTTAGAAATTCTGCTTTTCAGAAAGTCTTTGTAATAATTAAATATGTTACCATACTTTAAGGCTTAGTGAATAGTTACCAAAAGGATGACCATGTGATAATACTTAGAGGTAAATGACTAGCATCATAAAATATATAGAGGTGTGTGTGTATAAAAATAATATGTGTAGTTATATATTTAGTGATATGTTAACCTACCATATTGGCATAAAAATGCAGTTAGTACCTAGGTTCAACCGAAAGTTTTTCTTAAGACAGTGCATTTAAGTGTGGCTGGATTTTCATACTGTACATAATATGGAGGCAGTTTAGTTTGCCTTTGCATTACTGCTAGTTTATCGTACTAAGGATGAAGATAGGTTGTTTTCGAAGTTTGAATTTATGATTGCAAATTAAAGGTATAATTAGAATTTCTAGGTAACACTTTTTTCTTGTGATTGAACAGTGTTCAACATTCATCAAAGTATGAATTAAACTTTTCAAGCATAATTATTATGAGTGAAGATGGTAAAACACTTTAAAATTAAATTGCAAAATTCTTACAAGAAAATATAGTGAGAATTTTAAACATATCTAGTTATACAAAGAGTAATAGAGCAGAATACTCACAACTTTGTGTTTTTTTTTCCTGCCTTAGAATTTACCTCCTATTCGAAATGGCAATTTTAGGAAAAAGAAGAAAGGCAAAGCTAAAGAGTCTTCCAAAAAAACCAAAGAGGAAAACACAAAAAATAGAATAAAATCTTATGATTATGAGGCATGGGCAAAACTTGATGTGGTAAGTTAATCTAGTCATTTGCTTCTTAATATTTGAGTAAAATTTTCTGGGAGTTAGCTGATAGTCGTGGGCTAATTGAAAAATAATGTAGAGTTATGGCCTGTGTCTTTCTCTTAGACACTATTTATGTGGAATAAACATTTAATTACATAGCTCTTTGGTTAATGAGATAATTTTTTTTTTTTTTCTGCAATCTTCTTTCAGGGAGTGGTAGCTAAAACAGCCAGAATTTTGTTCTTTTTTCTTTCTTTTTGCAAACATTATTTATTTATTTATTATTTATTTATCCAGTGTACTCTTCATGCAGTTTCCTCTGGTGGTTACATCTTTCTTAGCTGTAGTACATAGTATCAAAACTAGGAAATTGACATTAGTACAGTGTGTGTATGGTTCTATGTTATTTTATCCCATGTGTAGGTTTGGATAACCCAGCTACAATTAAAGTACAGATATATGGCACCACCACAAAGATTCCCTTTGTGCCATTCCTTTATAGTCATACTGTTCCCCTCTTCCCCTTCTCCTCTAACCCCTAAACAGCCATAATTCTAAGATACTTCCAGAACAGAATGTACAGATCAGAAGTCTGTTGCAGACTGAAGGACCTGTAGAATTCTGCTAAAAGAGAATGCCTTTGTGTCTAGTCTTGGGACTGGGGCTGTGTGACAATAAACGTAGGCCTGTCTTGATCCCAGGGAGTTGGGCTTCTTCACGCTTCTAGACTGGGATAGCAGATGTGTGTCCTCCCATCTCCCACATGTGATACACAACATACTTGGAGAATCACCACCAGTGCTCTGCCTTAGAAACCTCTACCAATGTTTTAAGCAGCCACTGTCATGTCAGCCTGTGAAAGAGAACCTGTTGGCCAGCCTTATTCTGCACTCTGATCTACTTTGAGGATTGATTTGGTTAGGGGTATGTGTGTTGGGAGATGTGATAACCAAATTTGGAATATATATTCCTTTTTAGTTTTTAAAAAATGTTTATTATGTAATAATTGATTCATACCAAAGAATATGTGGAGATATGTGTTCCAAAGCATAGTAATACAATGAATACTTGAGCCTACCTACCATCTAACTTAAAGAGAATTTTTCCAGTACCATTGAAGCTTACTGGTATGTTCCTTTCTGATCGCATGTTCTTTTCTCCCCTCTACTCCAGAAGTAACCACTGTCTAATTTCTTTGTTTATTATGTTCTTTGTATTTTTCTGTTTAACATTTTTACTGAGCTATAATGTGCATAACCTACAAAAACCTTAAGTGTGCATCTTCCTGAATTTTTACTCAAGCGTACACCTGTGAAGCCACTGTTTGGATCAAGATATAGAACATTCTGGAAGGCTGAGGCGCGAGAATAACTTGAACCCGGGTGGCGGAGGTTACAGTGAGTGGAGATCACACCATTGCACTCCAGCCTGGGAGACAGAGGGAGACTCTTGAAAAAAAAAAAACAACAAAAACATTTCCAGCCTCACAGAGGCCTTCCTTTCAGTAGATAACTTCTCAAAAGTAGCCACTCTTCTGACCTCTCATACTGTAGGTCAGTTTGGAATTTCACATAAATGTATTATGCAGTATGCATTCGTTAAGTTTGGCTTCTTTTGCTATCATTATCTGAGATCCATATTGTGAGTAGCAGCAGTTCTTTTTCATTGCTGACCAGAATTCCATTGTGTGGCTATCTCAATTTGTGTGTCCATTCTCTTATTGATAAACCTTTGTGGTGTTGGCAGTTTGGGGCTATGATGAATAAACCTGCTGTGAACATTCTTATACTTGTCTTTTGATGGACATAAGCACCCTAGAGGGGATTTGCTGGGTCATAGTTTATAAATACATTTAGTTTTAGAAAATACTGCCAAACATTTTTCCAAATTATTTGTGTGGTATTTTTCTTTTTTTTTTTGAGATGGAGTTTCGCTCTTGTTACCCAGGCTGGAGTGCAATGGTGCGATCTTGACTCACCACAACTTCCACCTCCTGTGTTCAAGCAGTTCTCCTGCCTCAGCCTCCCAAGTAGCTGGGACTACAGGCGTGCGCCACCATGCCCAGCTAATTTTTGTATTTTTAGTAGAGATGGGGTTTCACCATGTTGACCAGGACGGTCTCGATCTCTTGACCTCGTGATCCACCTCGGCCTCCCAAAGTGTTGGGATTATAGGCGTGAGCCACCGTGCCCGACCTGTGTGGTATTTTTCTTAATAAAACTGAGGCTAATTAAGAGAGAACTGGGACTTTTGTTTAGTTTGCCATCTGCTTCAGAATTGTCCCAGTATAAGAGAAGTAAAATTTTGGGTCTTGAATTTATCACTGTTGGAAATGCTACTTTCTGAAAATAGAATTTATTCCCAAGTGTCATGTAGCCTGTCTTCATTTTTTTGTGTGACTTTTTGTTATACAGCCTGTTCCTTTTCATCAGTTGTTGTCTTCTTATAATGCCCTTTCCTGAAAGGCATCATCTCAGATGATTTCTTACAGAGATGTTTTCTACCCAGATATTGATTGAGCTCCTGCTGTGTGTAAACAATGCCATAATGATTATACTGCGTAGCTTGCAATTGTCGTTTTAGTGTCTCTATACAAGATATAGTTGTTTAGTTTCTATTTCATTCTAGTTCAGATCTGAGCAGCTGCCTTAGTGCCTTGCTGCTATTAGTTTTCTATACATGTCAGCATAGCAGGGTTGGATAATCCTGACTACAGTGTTGGTAGGCTGGTGGTATTTCTAGAATCTTCATACTAAAACACATAGCTAAATTTCAGTCCATGTTTCAATGTTCATTTAATGAAACTGAATAATTTTTTTTGTTTTTATAAGCAATTTTTTTAACGTAAATAACTTTAAAATAGTTTTTGAATGCAAAAAGGATTTTGTTTATGTAATGATTAAAGTTTGAGTTTAAATGTGCTTTAATGAACTCTAATGCTGGTCGCGGTGGCTCATGCCTGTAATCCTAGCACTTTGGGAGACTCAGGTGGGCAGATTGCTTGGGCTCAGTATCCAGACTAGCCTGGGCAACATGGCAAAAGCCCTTCTCTACAAAAAATAAAAAAATATACTCGGAGGCTGAGGCAGGAGAATTGCTTGAACCTGGGAGGCAGTGAGCCAAGATTGCGACACTGCACTCCAGCCTGGCACCTGGTGACGAAGCGAGACTCTGTCTCTAAATAAATAAATAAATAAATAAAATTAACTGGGCATGTGGTGCGTGCCTATAGTCCCAGCTACTTGGGAGACCGAGGTGGGAGGATGGCTTGAGCCTGGGAGATGGAGGTTGCAGTGAGCTAAGATCACACTACTGCACTCCAGCCTAGGCAGCAAAGCCAGATGCTGTCTCAAAAATAAAATTAAATAAAATTAAATAAAAATAAAATCTTACTAAAAATCATTGTTTTATCACATGAAAAATGAGAGAAAAATTCTGGTGAGGGGTCTATGAAATTATTTATTACCACGAAAGTAGTGTGCATCAAAAGAGATTGAGAATCGTGGGACTAGCATATTGTATTTTTCCTTTGGTAGAGGCAGCTATATTTTGGAATATACTGAGAGATGGTGTAACATAACGATTGAGAACTCTTGGAGGAAGTAGACTTGGCCACTTACTAGTTGAGTGACCTTGAATGAGTTAACTAACTTCTGCATTTCAGTTCCCTCAAGAGAAAAATTGAAGGAAAATCAAGTGAGGGTAGTTATACTTCCTCGTAGGTTATTGTGAAGTTTAGGAGCTAATGTGCTCTATTTTTTTTTTTTTTTTTTTGGTTTTTAAATAGCAGTTTTTGTTTCAAAATAGGGAAGAATAATGTTTTTTAAAGAAAACTTTGTCTGCTACTGGGGTGCTAATTATATTAGTTTAGGGCTATTTGCAAACTTCCTGTAAGCCGTAATACCTAACTGCTAATAGTTTGTGATTTAGGGGTGATTGGTATAGTCTATTGACTTAGCTTTATGAGTTTAAAGTTAGATTCTTGGTTTGGACCTTGGTTTTCTGAACAAAGGCATCTTTTTCTCTGGATATAATCTGAACAGAGATTTGGGTTGCTTTGTAAGCCTGTAGGTCCTTAGATTGTAATAATTTGTAAGCCTGTAGGTCTTTAGATTGTAACAATTTACATTCTTTTGAGTGTATTTTTTTTAGTATGTCTTTTTTTCCCCCAATGGTCATATAATTATGAACACTCTTTTTCTTCTTTTGATTTTAGGACAGTATCCTTGATGAGCTTGACAAAGATGATAGTACCCATGATTCTCTGTCTCAAGAATCAGAGTCGGAAGAAGATGGGATTCATGTAGATTCTCAAAAGGCTCTTGTTTTAAAAGAAAAGGTATTAATTAGTGAGGTTTTGTTTTTTTCACGTAAGCAGGAGCTGTGGAAAATCATATGGATCCTAAAGTTTCTTGAACATACTTTAGTAGGTGTTTAAACTTTGTGGTTGTTGGCTGCATCCCTCTCTGGAGGCAGTGGAACATAGTGGTTAGGAGTACATGCTTTCGAGCCAGATTACCTGGGTTCAAATCTCTTTTTAAACTTCTGAATTTCATTTCCTCATCTGTAAAATGACATTAATATTACCAACTTCAACAGGTTCTTGTGCGTAGTAAATGAACTATTTTATGTAAATGCTTGGACTGTATTTGGAGTTGTCCAGTGTTTTTAGTAGTAGATTGAAGTAACTTGAAATTAGTGTGTGATTCTTGGCATAAGTATTATATTCCACTCCTGCATATCAAAGGCCATCTTTGGCTACTTTTTGGAATGTTCAGTATCTCCCTGAGGGATGGTTCATTGTTATAAAACCAGCTATATTACTTTCACAAAGATGGAACTCTTTTCAGATTAAACTCTTGATGCTTTTTTTTTGGTTACATTTCTGTAGGTTGGTATTGTCAATAAGGAGTATAATGCTAGGTATTTTACTCATTTTTCTGATTGGGCTCTTGGATTGTGCCCATACAATGATCATATACAGTTGACCCTTGAACAGTGTGGGGTCAATGCCTCATGCAGTAAAAAAATCTGCATATAATTCTTGACTCCCCCAAAACTTAACTACTAATAGCTTACTGTTGACTGGAAGCAGTATGGATAACACAAATAATTGATTAGCACAAATTTTATGTGTTATATGTATTATTTACTGTATTCTTACAAAAAAGTAAGCTAGAAAAAAGAAAATGTTATTAAGAACATTTTAAGGAAGAGAATGTGTATTTATATAAACATATTTTACTAAGTAGAAGGGGATCATAGAAGTCTTCATCCTTGTCATCTTCACATTAAGTAGGCTGAGGAGGAGGAAGAGGAAGAATTGGTCTTCCTCTTTCAGGGGTGGCAGAGGCAGAAAAGGTGGAGAAGTTGGAAAGGGAGGCAGGCACACTTGGTGTAGACTTATTGAAAAAATCCACATTTAAGTGGACCCGTGCTCTTCATACCTGGGTTACTCAAGGGTCAACTGTAGTGAATTTAACATTTGTAAAAAATATCATCTTATTTGATTTGCTGTTCTTCAGGGCAATAAATACTTCAAACAAGGAAAATATGATGAAGCAATTGACTGCTACACAAAAGGCATGGATGCTGATCCATATAATCCCGTGTTGCCAACAAATAGAGCGTCAGCGTATTTTAGATTGAAAAAGTAAGGACTTTCTGTGATGTGTGTGAATGTAAATGTCTTATATATATATTGAGACTAATTTTAAAAAACGTTTGTAATAAAGTGTGAAGGACAGATTGAAAATGTATTGCATTTCTTTTCAGCTGTAAATTTTTATAGCCCACTCCTTTTTATTGAGTTACTTTGTTTAAGTCATTTTAAACATCTGGTGCTAAAAACTGTGTTTCCATAGCTCACTTTACTGAGGTGTTCCTCTAAAAATTCAGTAGTAGTGTTCTTGTCTAATTCACAAAGCTAAAAAAGTTTGTTGGATGTTTTTAGAAATTAATATCCTTCATTATTTTGAAAAACCATTTATCCACTTTTTAATCTAGAGAACATTTATGATAGTAAACTTAAAATATGTTTCAACATTTGTCTTCAAGTCATACTGACTTTTAAAATAAATACTTAATGTGGAAGAATATAAAAGGTACTGTCTTATCATATGCAGGTAACCAGCCTATCATAGGGGTTTTTTGAAAAGGTAAATAACATCAAGGAAGACATTCTTACTGTTTTAATTATTTGGAAATACAAATTTTATTGTTATCTGAGTTTTTACTATTTAAATAGCATATTTTTATGTCTTTGAAACTCATTAATATTCTAAAAAATTAGGGAATCTTTACATTTTATAATATTTGATATCTGCAGTATTTGTATCTCATACATAAGTTATAGAGAATAATTTAAAATAAGCCTATATTAGGGCCCCTCTCAACTTAAAAACCAGAACATTACCATTATTTTTGAAATTACCTTGATGCTCCCTTCTGTATCCTGTTCCTTGCCTCCCTCCCAGTTAACCACTATCTTGAATTACATATTTATCATTCTCTTGATTTAAAAAAAGTTTATTATATATGTATATGTCCCTAAATAATATATTGCATAACCTTGCTTATTTTTGTGCTTTAAACATATGTAGTTGTCTGTGGCTCACCGATTTCTCTGAATATTATATTTTTATGATTCATTCTGGTTTTGATGTGTATAGCTCTAGAGCTCTCATTGTAACTGTTATATAAGATAATTTCTTTTTAGAAATATTCCATTATTTTTTTATTTTTTATTTTTTGGAGACAGTCTTACTGTCTCACCAGGCTAGAGTGCAGTAGCGCAGTCTCGGCTCACTGCAACCTCTGCCTCCCAGGTTCAAGTGATTCTCCTGCTTCAGCCTCCCAAGTAACTGGGTCTACAGGCGCTCACCACCACACTCAGTTTTTGTATTTTTAGTAGAGACAGGGTTTCACTATGTTGGCCAGGATGGTCTCCATCTCTTGACCTTGTGATCCACCCGCCTCAACCTCCCAAAGTGCTGAGATTACAGAGGTGAACCACTGAGCCCGGCCATTATCTATCTATTCTTGTGTTGCTCGATTGTTGGTTGGTTCCCATCTTCCTTTCTTTTTCTTCTCTCTCTCCCTCCCACTCTTTTTTCCCTCCTTCTGTCCCTCTTTCTACTGCCCACTTTCTATCCTTTCCTTCCTTATTTCAGTGATGCTAGGAACATTTTTGTACATGTTTCTTGGTGTTGAGTCATAAAATATATAGATGTTCGGCTTCACAGAATGATGATAAAGGTAGTTTGTTGTTACACAGTTGTTACAAAGGTAGATGGATGAATTACATTCACATTTGCAGTGTATAATAATGCGTATTTCCTATCCTTACCAACACTGATATAATTGGGCTTCTTAATTGTTTTCAATCTAGTAGGTGTAAAATGGCAACGATGAAGAGTTCTTTATCCTGGATACTAATCCTTTGGTCTTTTTCATAATAACTATCTTCTCTCAATTTGTAGCTTATCTTTTTTCTTTCTTTATGGAATTTTAATTAATGTAAATATTTACTTTTAACATATTTCAGTTTATTTTTTAAAAAGATTAGAACTTTATAAAATGATTTATTAAAAAAAATAGTTTGCTGCTTGAGTTCATAATAGTCTCCTCTGATTTCTTCTAAACATTTTTAAGATTTAATTTTCACATTTAGGCCTTTTCACATATGCCAAAGGTTTTTCCAGCTCTTATTTTTGGAATAGCCCTACTTTCCCCCATGGATCTGCCATGCTATGCATGTTGTCATATGTCATGTTTGCCTAGATCACTTTCTCATCTTTTGTTCTTTACACTGGTCTCTTGCCTGTCCTTATATCCATTCCACAATCCATCCAAGCATTATAACTGTAAGTCTTGATATTTGATATAGGGCATATTCTCCTATATTTTATTATTCAGCAATGTCTTGGGTATTTGTGGACTTACTCATCAGTATAAATTTTAGAATCATCTTCCCAAATTCCTTAAAACATCCTGTTGGGATTTTGATTAGAATTGCATCCTGTTGGGATTTTGATTAGAATTGCATTATAGGCTGGGCGCAGTGGCTCAAGCCTGTAATCCCAGCACTTTGGGAGGCCGAGGCGGGTGGATCACGAGGTCAAGAGATCGAGACCATCCTGGTCAACATGGTGAAACCCCGTCTCTACTAAAAATACAAAAAATTAGCTGGGCATGGTGGTGCGTGCCTGTGATCCCAGCTACTCAGGAGGCTGAGGCAGGAGAATTGCCTGAACCCAGGAGGCGGAGGTTGCGGTGAGCCGAGATCGCGCCATTGCACTCCAGCCTGGGTAACATGAGTGAAACTCCGTCTCAAAAAAAAAAAAAAAAAAGAATTGCATTATATTTATAAATCAGCCTGGAGAGAATCATATTGTTACATTTTTGTGCTTTGTTATAGATGAATGTGAAATATTTCCACTTACATTATCATTAATGTCTTTGAAAATAGTCTTACAATTTTTTTGCATCTGTGTCTTGTACATCTTTGTTAGTTTTGTTTGTTTTTTGTTGGTCCATCATAGTCACCTTACTAAACTTTTATATTTTAATATTTCTAGCAGTGTCTTTAGATTATTTTGAGTTTTCTTTTTAGACCATCATATCATCTGAGAATAATATCAGGTTTTTTCCTTTGTTTCTAGTCCTTGTATTTCTTTCTTACAGAAATACATTGGTGGAGACCTCTATGTAATACCAAGAAAAAGCAGTGATAATGGGCATTCTTGTTTCTTGCATTAAAGGGAATGCTACTAATGTTCCACCATTAGGAATTATAGGCATACCTTGTTTTATTGTTTGTCGCTTTATTGCATCCACAGATACTGTTTTTACAAAATGAAGGTTTGTGGCAACCCTGTATCAGGCAAGTCAAGCAACTCTGTTGGTGCCATTTTTCCAACAGCATGTGTTTACTTTGTATCTCTGTATCACATTTTAGTAATTGTTACAGTATTTCAGACTTTTTTTTGTTATTCTATCTGTTATGGTGATCTCTGATCAGGGATCTTTGACATTTCTATTGTAATTGTTTTGGGGAGCCATCAAGCATGCCTATATATTATGGCAAGCTTAATGAATAAATGTGCCTTCAGTCTGCTTCACTGACCAACTGCCCCCCCATCTCTGTCCCTCTCCTTGGGCCTCTCTATTCCCTGAGATACAACAGTGTTGAAATTAGGCCAGTTAATAACCTACAGTGAGGACAGGCACGGTGGCTCATATCTGTAATCCCAGCACTTTGGGATGTCGAGATGGGTGGTTCACTTGGGGCCAGGAGTTTGAGACCAGCCTGGCCAACATGGTGAAATCCTGTCTCTACTAAAAATACAAAGAATTAGCCAAGCGTGGTGGTGCATGCCTATAATCTCAGATACTCTGGAGGCTGAGGCATGAGAATTGCCTGAGCCCAGGAGGCAGAGGTTGCAGTGAGCCGAGATCATGCCACTGCACTCCAGCCTGGTGACAGAGTGAAACTCCATCTCAAAACAAACAAACAAAAAATGCCTACAGTGGCATTTAAGTGTTCAAGTGAAAGGCTCGCAGATCTCGCACTTTAAATCAGAGGCTAGAAATGATTAAACTTGGTGAGGAAGGCATGTGGAAAGCCAAGACTGACTGAAAGTTAGGCTTCTTGTGCCAGTTAGCCAAGTTGTGAATACAAAGGAAAAGTTCTTGAAGGAAATTAAAAGGGCAACTCCATTGAACACAAGTAATTAAAAAGTGAAAGAAGCCTAATGTTAGGGAGAAAGTTTTATTGGTCTATATAGATTAAACCAGCCATAACATTCTCTTGAGCCAAAGTCTAATCTAGCACATGGCCCTAACATTCTTCAATTTAGTGAAGGTTGAGAGAGGTGAGAAAGCTGCTGAAAAAAAGTTGAAAGCTAGCAAGAGTTGGTTCATGAGGTTTAAGGAAAGAAGCTGTCTCCGTAACATAAAAGTGGAAGGTGAAGCAGCAAGTGCTGATGGAGAACCTGTAGAAAGTTATTCAGAAGATGTAGCTAAGGTAATTGATGAAGTTGACTATGTTAAACAACACATTTTCAGTGTTGACTAAACAGCTTTCTGTTAGAAGACAGTGCCATCTAGGACTTTCACAACTAGAGAGAAATCAATGCCTGGCTTCAAAGGACAGTCTGATTCTCTTGTTAGGGGCTAATGTAGCTGGTGGCTTTAAGTTGAAGACTGTGCTCATTTACCATTCCAAAAGTCCTAGGGCCCTTAGGAATTATGCTAAATCTACTCTGCCTGTGCTCTCTATATAAAAATAACAAAGTCTGGACGACAGTACCTCTATTATCAACTGGTTTACTGAATATTTTAGGCCTACTGTTGAGATTTACTGCTTGGGAAAAAGATTTATTTCAAAATAGTATGGCTTATTGACAGTGTACCTACTCACCCAAGATACCTGCTGGAGATGTACAAGGAAATGAATGTTGTTTTCATGCTTCCTAACACAACATCCATCTGCAGCCCATGATCAAAGAGTCATTTCAACTTTCAAGTCTCGTTATTTAAGAAATAGGTTTCAGCAGTTTAGTGGTCCCTCGGATCTATCTCTTGCTTCAACAGTGTTTGGATGGAACAAATTCCCCCACCCCCCAAAAAAAATTAAAAATAAAAATAAAAATAGAAAGAAATACATTTCATAGGCTATAGCTGTCATAGATCGTGATTCCTCTAGTGGATCTGGACAAAGTAGATTGAAACCTGGAAAGGGTTAACTAATTTTAGATGCCCTTAAGAACATCTGTAATTCATGGGAGGAGGTCAAAATATCAGTGTTAACAGGAGTTTGGAAGAAATTGACTTCTACTCTTATGGATGACTGAGGGATTCAAGATTTTAGTGGAGGAAGATGTGACTGAATTGCTGCAATCTTGTGTTCAAACTTGAATGGATGATCAGTTGCTTCCTATGGATGAGCAAGGAAAGTGGTTTCTTGAGATAGAATCTACTGGTGAAGGTGCTGTGAACATTTTTGAAATGACAACAGAAGATTTAGAACATTATACAGACTTACTTGAAAAAGCAGTGGCAGAGTTTGAGAGAATTGACTCCAATATTGAAAGAAGTTCTATTATGAGTAAAATGCTATCAAACAGCATCACATGGTACGACCACCACCCTGATCAATCAGCAGCCATCAACATCAAGGCAAGATACTTCACCAGCAAAAACATAAATATTCACTGAAGGCTCAGATAATCATTAGCATTTTTTTAACAATAAAGTATTTTTAAATTAAGGTATATACATTTTTATTTATCCATAAAGCTTTTGCACACTTACTAGATTACAGTATAATGTAAATATAACTTTTGTATGCACTGGAAAACCAGAAAATTTGTATGACTAGCTTTATTGTGACATTTACTTTGTTGAGGTGGTCTAAAATCAAATCCACAATATTGTTGAGGAATGCCAGTATTGCTTTTATTATGCTTAATTAAAAGGAAGTGGGAAACATGCCTTCAGTGGGCAAGTAAATTCACTTTGCAAGGATTTCAGAAACAAAACTTTGAAGTTTTGATTTAGTAAATTAGTTTTATTAACTTCATTTATTTTAATGTTTTAAAATTGCAGATTTGCTGTTGCTGAGTCTGATTGTAATTTAGCAATTGCCTTGAATAGAAGTTATACAAAAGCTTATTCCAGACGAGGTGCTGCCCGATTTGCTTTGCAAAAATTAGAAGAGGCCAAAAAAGGTATTTCTAGTAATTATCTAAAAAATTATTTAACAGTGTAATCTAACAGATGCTATATAGAGATTACTAAGTAATCACAGTTACTACCTTCAGAGAGCTTTCTATATTTGAACAAAGCTCATTTTTGCAACTGAGATGATATCTTGATGTTTTGAGAAAGAATGCATTATTTGCTACCAATCAGAATTTGGTTCAAATTCTCATGTTACTAAGTACTAGCTATGTGACCAGTATCTTCTCTGATTTTTCAGTTTCTCATCTGTAAAATAGGCATCAAAATGTCTTGTTGGCTTTAGTGAGGCAAGAGGTAGTGTGTTTAAAGCTCCTAACACATTTTTGTTTATTTATGAATTCTAAGCCTTCTGTTATTCCACGAAATAAGTTTGTATATTATAAATTAAAATCTGAATAAAGCTGATATTTAATTGGATTTTGCTGCCTCTTGGGGTTTTTTTTTTTTCTTGCTTCTCTGTCACCCAGGCTGCAGTGTGATGGCATGCTCTCAGCTCACTGCAACCTCTGCCTCCTGGGTTTAAGCAATTCTCCCCGCCTCCGGAAAGATGCCTGCCACCATGTCCAGCTAATTTTTATATTTTTAGTAGAGACACGGTTTCACCATGTTTGCCAGGCTGGTCTTGAACTCCTGACCTCAGATGATCTGCCTGCCTCGGCCTCCCAAAGTGCTGGGATTACAGGTGTGAGTCATGGCGCCTGGCCTGCTTCTTCGTTTTACGATGTACAACTTATGATAGCAGGTATTCTTACTAGGGCTAGTGGAAGATGGTTTGTCATAGGATTTTGTCTGCCTTGGGGGAGAAAAAGAAAGTTCAGTGGCTTGGCTGGGCACAGTGGCTTATGCCTGTACTACTGGCACTCTCAGTGGCCAAGGTGGGAGGATTGCTTGAAGTTAGGAGTTTGAGACTAGCCTGGCCAACATGGAGAAACCCTGTCTCTACTAAAAATAGAAAAAATAGCTGAGCTTGGTTGTGTGTGTCTGTAGTCCCAGCTACTCAGGAGGCTGAGGTGCAGAATCTCTGGAACCTGGGAGATGGAGGTTGCAGTGAGCCAAGATTGGGCCACTGTACTCAGCCTGGGTAACAGAGTGAGACTTTGTCTCAAAAAAAGAAAGTTCAGTGGCCTAATGATGGTATTTCTTTGTTTCTCCTTTATTTTGCTGTAGGACAGTTGCCTAATTGTCACAGGTAACAAAAGATTGTTTCATACAGGTTTTTAAATATTACCTATTTAAAAATATTTTTTATCTTCTTTTTTACTTAGATTATGAAAGAGTATTAGAACTGGAACCAAATAACTTTGAAGCAACAAATGAACTCAGGAAAATCAATCAGGTAAACTATAGTTATTTAAGTTAAGTGCATTACTTATGACCTTTATTTGAAGAAGTAAAGCTTTTTGCATAGATTTTATATGATTTCTTTATATTGAGATTTTCTAATTTTAATTCTTTGTAGAGTTTTGCTAAATGAATTTGCAAGCTAAAGGTAGTGTAATGGTATTTAAAGATCCTTGATTGTTCTAAAAGTTGCCTGAGATGTTTAGAACTACTGCTGCTTAACTCTTTCCCAGATGACAGAATTATTATTTTTTATCTCACTGATTTTCTTCCTTTTTGGCTTATGCACTGATTGAAACATTGAGAGAAAAATGACAATGATTGGGGGAAGTGTGCTTTTAAATATTGCCATTACTATTGCACGTAAGATCTGCTGGTAAATATGTCAACTTGATTATAGTTGTGAACTGTATTACGTATTTTTAAAATTTCGTCTTACATCAAAAAGTGAATGTGAGTATTGAATTTGAGAAATTTGATGATGTAGCTGTAATGAACTGTTATGTTTGAAAACAGCGCCTAAAACAGTGTCTGGCCTGTATAGAAATTCAATAAATATTTGTTGAATAAATGAGCAATTACTTTTAATGGATGCTACTTATTTATCTATTTGAACATATAATGTATTTGTTTTGCTGGGTGTTGATTTATTTCTTGTATATTAGTTAAATTTCTTGCTTCTCTAGTATGAAAGTTTTGCTTGAGTAGGAATTGGAAATTAAATACACTAAAGCCTCTGGGACCTAAATAATTTCAACTTTTATTTTAGGTTCAAAGGGTACATGTGCAGGCTTTTTACATGGGCATATTTTATGATACTGAGGTTTGGAGTATGAATGATTCCGTCACCTAGGTAGTGAGCATAGTACCCAATAGGTAGTTTTTCATTCCCTCCCCACCCCCAGTGTCTCTCTCCCTAACAGGTAGTCTGTAGTGTCTTGTTTCCATTTATGTCCATGTGTACCCAATGTTTACCTCCCACTTATAAGTCAGAACATACAGTCTTCGGTGTTTGATACTAATTTTAATTGAAATGAGAAGCACATTAAATTTATTATATACTTACGTTACTTTTTACTTTAATAAGTAGGAAGGTTTTGAATTAGAGTAGAAAATGTTATTTTGATTATGTAAAATATTACAGAAATTGTAATATATTTGAGGTATTTATGTTTTAAGGTCAAATATATGTGCATCTTGCATTACTTGTTTTATTTTAGCTGACTGCTATGTCTCCTAGGCTTTAGCATCCAAAGAAAACTCACATCCAAAGGAAGCTGCAACAGTGATTAAGTCAACAGAGAGCGAGCGAAAGCAAATTGAAGCACAATGGAATAAGCAGCAGGCCATTTCAGAGAAAGATCTGGTAATCCGAAGCTATTCCAACATATAATGTATATGTTTTGCTGAGTGTTGATTTATTTATTGTATATTAGTTAAATTTCTTGCTTCTCTAATATGAAAGTTTTGCTTGAGTAGGAATTGGAAATTAAATACACTAAAGCCTCTGGGACTTACTAATTCAAAATTTGAGTAATTGATGACTTTATACATAAATTAAAAAAAAATAATTATAGAAACACTTAAGTTTGGGAAACTACTTTTGAGTGTTTTATTATACAATTACATATACATAGCTATAAATTTAACAGAAGTTAATTACAGTCCATTCTCATCCATACTATTTTCATTAATTCACACTGGACTGTTTCTGATTGAAATTCCTCTACTAATCATGAGTTGAGGAGGTTTAACTTATTTATAGCCTTTCCTGGACCCACAGAGGATTCCTAATAAATATTTATGAAATGATTATTGATTGTGATAATTGACTCTGGTTATAAATAAATGTTATAGTGAAATCAGGTATACAAATTCCAATATTGTTGAATTTATCTTATATTGAAGAGTGGGCTTTATAATTCTGGTACTGTGTTCTTTCACAAAAGTTATTTGAGTTATGAAATTCTTTTGTATAGCTTCTAATGTAGCTAAAGACAGTATAATATTTGGACCTTTGTTAAAATAGGTTTTTAAATTTAAGCTTTGTGTAATATTTTATTAATGGAATAACAGTGAATGCTGCAAAGTAATATAGTAGTATACATGTTTTTCTCTTTTAGTACTGAAAAGAGAATAATGCCATTAAAAAAGAACTCAAACCAACAGATTCTAAAACGTGTCTCATGGGCTAGATTTTTAACAATTAATATTCTTTCTTGAAATACTGTTGAACGTCCTCACAGTTTTTCATAAGATTTGAATTCATTTAATTTTTGGCATTTTTAAAATTCTTCTTCATATTTCGCTACAAAATAACAGGGGAATGGATTTTTCAAAGAGGGGAAATATGAAAGAGCAATTGAATGCTATACTCGAGGGATAGCAGCAGATGGTGCTAATGCCCTTCTTCCAGCTAACAGAGCTATGGCCTATCTGAAGATTCAGAAGTAAGTATTGGTTACATTTTAGTGCTTTTCAGGATAAAATTTACCATAAATTGGGTGTTTGTTATTTGCATGTGATTGCAAATAAGCAGCAGGTTAAATTTTTACTGTAATTCTGAATAGTGGTGAGCATAAGCAATATTTTGAGATACCAGTAACAGTTGTAATGTGACATGGAAATATCTCATTCTTTTTTTTGAGACAGAGTCCTGCTCTGTCACCTGGGCTAGAGTGCAGTGGTTCGATTTTGGCTCACTGCAACCCCCACCTTCCAGGTTCAAGTGATTCTCCTGCCTCAGCCTCCCGAGTAGCTAGGATTACAGGCGTGCGCCATGACCACTGGCTAATTTTTGTATTTTCACTAGAGACAGTGGCTAGGCTGGTCTTTAATTCCTGACCTCAGGTGATCCACCTGTCTCTGCCTCCCAAACTGCTGGGATTAGAGGTGTGAACCACCGCGCCTGACCAAAATATCTGATTTTTATTGGTGGCAGAGTGATAGGTACTGTTGTCTGCGTTTGTATTTGTAAGAGAGCTAAATTTTATTTAAAGGTCAGGGACAATAATAATACAGTTTTTTTCCTAACCAAGTTTTCACATCCCCCAGAGGATCTCAGGTTAGGATCTCCTGTCATAGAAGTAAATTTTGATTATGTATTTAACCTTACTTAAAGTAATAGATACCACTAGAGATAGATTCTTTTGTTGACTATTCAGAGTAAAGGTCATTGTATCTGTTGCTAGCTTATGAAGATATTGATTTTTGCTATTGGTGTGACTAATGCTAAGAGTAATACCTTCTTATAGGTGTGAGATTATATTTACATTTATAAGATCTCTAATTTATCGTATTAGTTTTATTGCTTTAGTGTATAATCACATTAGTGGAATATACTATACCAAGTTAGCAGAGCATATTTTAAATTAAAAGAACTGTATGACTCTTGTATCTTTTCTAGTGTGGGAACTTCAGATTTTTAGATTAATTGTTGAGTGTTATTCAGCTGTACAATAGAACATGCAATTAAATATGCAATTAAAATGGTTTCCTAAACATTTATCTTCTAAATTTTCTTTGAATTTGGATGTTTGGAAATTTTTTGATTTACTTATTCAGCAAACATTTATTGCACTAAAATGTATCAGGTGTTCTGTTAGGCACTGTGGAAGGTATTAAGTGTACAGATATTAAATGTGTGGTTGTTTTTGTTGAAGTTTGCAGGAAGTGACAGAAAAGGAGACCAATATTTGTGAAAATACACTAAGAAAATGTGATGAAGGATACATGCCATGGGTGTTCAGGGTGGGAAGAATACTGGGATAGATGGAGTCCAGGCAGGGGAATTCATGGGAAAGCTTCTTGAGATAGTTCAAACCAAACTGAAATCTAACAGAGTAGTATGAGTTAGTGAGGTGAAAAACAGATCTAGGGTTCTAGTGCAGGTGCAGAGACATGGGAGTAGGAAGATTCATGGTACCTCCTGGAAAGGGTAAGTGGTCCATATTATGGCTGTTATTGCAGGGGACAGTGGCAGAGAGAAGGCCAGATAGTCAGGCAAGTCCCTGACTTTGCCCTCCAAAGGAGTTTGACTTTATCCTGAAAAGTGTGGGGGCCATGCAGGTATCTTGAATGATATAATCAGGCAAGTAGAAAATACATTGATAAGGGCATGAACACAGATGTGTTCTTTATCTCTTGCTGAAAAGTGAGTTAAAGAAATCAGAGATGTTTAAGTTAATTCTAAATTCTGATTTTGTTCATAAGAGATCTTGTTTTGAGGGGAAGATGACATCCATTTAAGCCTTGGGGAGAATGCAATTACAGGAACTTTTTTTTTTTTTTTTAATATTTTCATGAAACTTTTCAAACTTATACAAAAGTAGTATAATAAGCCCCATGTATCCATCTAGTTTTAACAAGCCATATTTTCTTTGGTCATATTTGTTTCAGCTTTTTCCTCCTGAATTATTGTAAATCGTAAACATTGACATTTTATCACTAAAGAAAGGATATTTTATACATATTATCCTAACTAATAATAATTCATTAATGTCATATTAATATATGGGAATGTCTCAGGTTTTTCTGTTGTTGGGTTTCTTTTTTGTTTTGAGCTCTTCTTAAGCAGCAGAACGAGTAAGTCTGTAAGGCTGAATTGATTGCTGGTTGCATGGCTGAGTGGAATTTATGCAAAGTATTAGATGATGTGCTATCACATACATAGCAAATTCTGATTTTTTTGTTTTTCTATGAGTATGGGAGATATACTGTGGGTAAATGTTCATAAAGTTTTATTAGAAAACTAATGCCAGTTAAAATTCTAATGTAGTACCTGTGCATATTGAGGCTTGGAGAGGAGGTAGGCTGCTAGCAGTGGTATTCTTTTGTCTGCCCTTAGTCATACTTTTGCATTATTATTCCATTCCTCCAGCAGACTCTCCTAACTTTCCCTTAATCTGGTACCTTCCACCTCCTCACCAAATTATTCCAAGATTTGGTGAGAATAAAAAAATTTATGAAATAGTTCTCCACTTCAAACACAGATTAAGGAGTTAGTGATTGAAATTATATACAAATTTTTAAAATTAGAAACTTAGTTTATATGAAAATTTTCCATAACCTGCCTTTTTTCCAGTCAGTAATTTTATCATGTTCAATAGATATGAAGAAGCTGAAAAAGACTGCACACAAGCCATTTTATTAGATGGCTCATATTCTAAAGCTTTTGCCAGAAGAGGAACTGCAAGAACATTTCTGGGAAAGCTAAATGAGGCAAAACAAGGTAAGACTTTATAATAGCTGGCACTCAGTCATCCTGATGAGATGCCCAAGTTATAGAAGTAGAGATTCATGTAGCTTACCCATGGTTCAAAGATACCGAACTTAGGGAATTATGTTTTCTTTCCACAGTTTAGATCATGAATAGATTTGGAGGCATGCAGCTTCTACAGTGTACCTGATTATCTTTTTGTTTAGTAGCATACAGTACATTCTGGCTAATTGCCAGTCAACATTAATGAAAAATTTTAATTATAGATGAGAGTGGAAAAAGTGATAAAAAGACAAGAATAAAAAGAAAAGGAAGGGAATCAGTGTTGCTGAGCAAAAGGGACTCAGTGCCTGATGTGCTAGAAGCCAATACTGTAAGCAAAAGGGACACAGTGCCTGTGTCCCTTTTTTTTTGAGAAATCAGATTTTTGAGAAAAGGCTTTATGTTGAAAGTTGACTCCCAAAGAGACAGGAAACAAGCTCAAATCTGTCTCCTTGTCTTAGCTTTAAGGCAGTAATTTTATTAGAAAAGGTGTAGGTGGGTGGATACTAGAATTAGGTGATTAGTGGAAGGAAAGGGGAAAGTTCATGGGCATGTGTAGCTATCTCTTCATGCTAACTCATGGATTGCATGTGCAAGTTCAGGGTAGTCAGTATGAAACTTGGTGGAAATTTAGGCTGTGAAATCAGCAAGCTTGTTTTGTGCAAACTCCACTTGGCCATTTTGGTTCCAATGATTTCAGCCAGTTTTTTTTTTTTTTTTTTTTTTTTTAAATCCCAATAAGCAGAGGAAGTTTCATTGTTTCAGCAAGTTGTATCTTTTCCTGTCTGTCATCCTGCAAACTCAAGAATTTCTGTTAGTGACTGATTTTTTTTTTTTTTTTAAACTCTGCACTGTGGTTTCATCAGCAGGTAGGGAATGGAGGATAATGGAGATCTGTAGTGATGCCATTTTAATTCTTGATACTAGTTTTTTTCCTAGATTTTTTATGGTCTTGTTTTTTAGATATTCATTTAATTAGTCTTTTCAAAGAACCAACTTGGTTCTCCTGTGTGTGTTTTCTATTTAATCTCCTTCTGCTTTTTATTTTATTCCTTCAACTTTCAGTTTAATTTGCTGTTTTTCTAGCTTCTGAGATCAGTACTTAGATAATTGATTTTCAGCCTCTGTTCTTTTCTGATATGTGCATTTAAAATCTGGTAGTTTCTCTATAAGCCTGTTAGCTATAGCCTGTGTTTTTTTTGTGTGTGTGATAAAAAAATACATGTAGCATTAAATTAATTGTTTTAACCATTTTTCAATATATAGCTCAGTGGCATTAAGTACATTTACATTGTTGTGCAGTCATCACCACTGTCCGTCTCCAGAACTTTGTCATCATCCCATTCTAAAACTCTATACACATTAAACAATACCTCACCTTTTCCTCTCCCCCAAGCCCTATTAATCTCCATTCTACTTTCTGTCTCTGAATTTGAGTATTCTAGATATCCTATGTAAGTGGAATCAAGCAGTATCTGTCCTTTTGCCTCTGGCTTATTTAACTTAGCATAATGTTTATGTTGGAGCATGTATCAGAATTTCATTCCTTTTTAAGGCTAATACTTTGTTGTATGTCATTCTCTTACTAACATTTTACATTTAGCGAGTTACTCTTGTCATTTGCTTACATGGTGAACTTTGCTAAGTTAGATGACCTCTAGGCCTTAGTTTTATCACCTTTAAAGTGGGGTTGTAGTGAGGGTTACGTGAAAATTCATATAAAACAACTACAATAGCATTCAGTAAATGTTCTTACTATAGCTCACGTGTTTCCTAGCAATCTGAGTAAAACATCTTGAGCTAAAAAACATCTTGAGTGATTACTTGCAGTGAGACCTCACTACCTTCTATCCTAATAAAAAAAGAAAAAAAATTTGATTACGAACTGAGTAGTATATCATGAATATACATGTGAATATGAAAACTCCACATTTTCACTACATTCTAATATTTTTTAAAAATTCACTTTAGATTTTGAAACTGTTTTACTTCTGGAACCTGGAAATAAGCAAGCAGTAACTGAACTCTCCAAAATTAAGAAGGTAATATGTTCTTTTCACCAAAACTTGGTCATATTTTCTGAAACATAAATCTATTTATTTGTTGTATGATAAATATTTTGGTAGTTATGATTATAAATTTATTTTCAAGGAATTAATTGAGAAAGGACACTGGGATGATGTCTTTCTTGATTCCACACAAAGACAAAATGTGGTAAAACCCATTGATAATCCACCACATTCTGGATCAACTGTAAGTAAAGCACTTTCATTTTCTCCTTACCATTTAAATATGTTGTATTAAGAGAATTGGAAACCAGCTGTTGTATTAATAAACTCTTAAAGGAAATGTTGAAATGTCTTCCTGGGGAGTTTTTTTTTTTTTTAAGAGTCTTTAAGAAATACTAGTAAAAATTAAAAACAAAAATAAAAAAAATTCTATCTAGGTCAAAGTAAAAAGAAAAAAAAGGAAAAAATACTTCCTAGCATTACTGACATAATAAGGGAAATTTAGCTGTGTTTAGATTTTTGGGGTAACTTTTTAAGTGACTATTTGAATTTAACACTATAAATATTTCTACCTATTTATCTTATATTAAAGGAATTTCAAGCAGTTTTACATCTTATAGAAATTAAATGTCTTTGTACTTTTATTACTATTCTGAAGTTGGGATAAACACATTTGCATCAAGTAAATTATGAAATATACAGAAAAGTACACAAGACAAATTATGATTTAGAGAACAATTACAAAGTGGACACCCATGAAACCACCGAGTCAGAAAATAGAAAGATATCACCCTCCAAAAACCTATGTGCCCCTTACTGATCAATATCCTCTTCCTGCCCTCTTAAACTGTTATGCATAGATGATCCTTTGCATAACAGTTTTCTTTATTAGAAATAACAATTTCATAAGGAAGTCAGAGCAGGTACTTTTATCCTTTTTTTTACAAAGACAGAAAAGGAAAGAAAGTTTGTTTTGCTACATTTGTATTAGTAGTTAGTAGCAAATAGATTTCTTAGTTTAATTCTTTTCCAGTGCATTTAATATGACTGTTTTTTGTTTTTGTTTGTTTTTTTTTGAGACAGAGTTTTGCACTTGTCCCCTAGGATGGAGTGCAATGGTGTGATCTCAGCTCACTGCAGCCTCCACCTTCTGGGTTCAAGTGGTTCTCCTACTTTTTAGCCTCTGGAGTAGCTGGGATTACAGGCATACCACCATGCCCGGCTAATTTTTGTATTTTTAGTAGAGACAGAGTTTACCATGTTGGCCAGACTGGTCTTGAACCCCTGACCTTAAGTGATCTTCCCACCTTGTGATCTTTGGGATTTTGGCCTCCTAAAGTGCTAGAAGTACAGGTGTGAGCCACTGTGCCTGGCCTATTATGACTGTATTCTTGATAATACTGGTTTTGTGTGTTGTGTGTTCCGGGAATAAATCTAGGTATTTTCACATATTATGGTCATTTTCATATATTCATTTACTATTCTTTTTAGTAAAAGTGATTAAATATTTAATTAAATGTAGTTTAAACTTCTATATCTTTGTAATACTTCTTTACAAAAATTAATTCACAAGTTTACAAAAGGCCTTTGTTAGATATCACTGTCCATGATTATAAAAACATTGCCATATGATGTGTGTAATATTCCATGACTAATATACCATAAGTAGCTTTTTACACATTTGTTGGGTCCTCCTTGTTAAAAATGAATTTATGTTAATAGTTGTGAAAATGCAACATGAATTTAAATCTCTTATGGCAGTATGACAAAACAAAACACCTCTAGGAAATGAGAAATCTCAGAGTAAACCATTCTGTAAATGATCCAAAACAAACTAAATTAGTATTCTAGTGGGAAGGGAAAAAAATTGCTGTTTATTTTTATAATGGATCTTCATGATAAAAATAATGTGGGCATTATTTTTAAAAAGTAGAGGATAGCAGTTTGGTATAATGCCTCTGAGACTGGATTTGAGCCCCACTTGATAAACTTAGCAATCTTGAACAAGTTAGTTAATCTCTGTGTTATCCTTACTTTTTCTCCTTAAGTTGATATAATAACTCACGGATTAGTTTATATCAAAGGAAATAATATGCATAAATGCTAAGGCAATTTCAGGTGAAACAAATTTTAATTTCCTTTGTAGTCACCTATTTGTGACAACACTTGGACACCAGGGAAAATGATTAGAGAAGGAAGGAAGACTACAAAAAGTATATATATAGAGAGAGTCCCAGGATTATTGCAATGAGAGGCTAGGCTGGGGTAGTCTGTGCTTGAAGGGCTGGCAGCTGGGAAGTATTTTTAGCAAACCTCTAGACAGTGTAGAAGAGCAGAGATGTAGGGGAACTTGGGCCTTGGGTTTCCCCACTAATTTTCTGCTAAAAT